TCCTGGCGCTGGGAGGCGCCCATCATGCATCGACGAATGGGCCCGGCGGCGGGGTCGAAACCAGCTGCGTGCAGCAGATTTCGCACCCCCCCTTTCCCTATCATAGGCGACATCATCAAGACCCCAGGCCGAGCCTAACTCCTAACCCCCTCGGCCCGTGGCCTATCCATCGTCGCCGTCGCCGTCGCTGGCGACCGTCGCCGCCGTCGTCGTCGCCGCGATGTAAAGGACAGAGTGGGATCAGAAAGGTGTGGGGCGGCAGTTTGCCGATGCCGATGTGATTTCTTGCCCACGCGTCCTCGCCGACGATATCTCGAATCGTGTCGGACAGCGCTGTCTTCGTCCGCTTCGCTGCCGCGTAGTGCGGGCCCGCGTCGCTCCGGCACATGCCCGGGTGAAGTTGCCAACATGTCCTGATGGGCAGCCTCTGTTTGGCAAGAGCTTTGGGGTTGAACAGGTGGGAGTCCGCGACGCACGTGGACCGGTAGAAATCCGAGTCGCACTTGGCCTCGGCGAGGATGTCCGTCACAGTTGCCCGTTCGACAGGAGCGGCCCCTGCAACCTGGGCTGGGGTCGGCGGGTCGACGGCAGCGATCGCGCGCGGCCCCGTCCGTTTCCGGGGGGGGGGGGGGCAGGGCTGGCGGGGTGCCCAGGCGCCGCCTCTCGGGGCGACCCCAGAACGCTCTCGGCGAGGCGCATGCGGCATGCGGCATGCGCTGAAAGCGCCCGCGGCCCGAATCCCCAGCGATCGATCATCGTAGTCCGGCCCCGCCGGGGAGCCGAGCGTCGGGCCGGGACAGCCCGGATGGAGGAAGAGGAGGAAGAGCAAAGAGGTGAAGAGAGGGAGATGAGTCGAGGAGAGGCGAGGAGAGGCGCGGGGAGGTGGAAAAAGGGGGAGGAGGAAGGGGGTTAAATACACCCTTGGACATCCGCCCGTCGCTGCATCAGCTCAGCCGCCAGGACGGCCGTTGCGGACTCCAGCGTCGACGGGGCCATCGGCCACGCCTGGTTGCCGCAGCGGAGCGGCGACGTCCTGAGGCGCGCCCCCCAGCAGCGCCGCGTCGACGACGACGACGACGCCGACGCCGACGCCGACGCCGACTCCGACGCCGACGACGCCGACGCCGACGCCGACGCCGACGCGGACGGCGACGCCGACGACGACGACGACGACGGCGCTGGCGACGGCGCCGGCGCCGTCGACGACGACGACGACGACGACAACGGGAGACGGCGAGGGAATTTCTGCCTCCACGGGGTGGGCAGACATCCCCTCGCAAGACGACGACGACGACGACGACGACGACGACGACGACGACGACGACGACGGCGGGGGCTGCGGCAAAGACGACGACGACGACGACGACGACGACGGCTGCGGCTGCGGCGGCGGGAGCAGCGGCTGACGACGAAGACGTGGACGTCGACGACGACGACGACGAGTGCTCCTGTCTGGACTCCAGGTTGGATCAACATCGAACTCCTCGAAAATGTCGTCTAAGTCCTGCTCCCGAGCCGCGGCTGCTTCGGCATTGCGGTTCTTGTGGGCGTAGACGGCCTGGCTCAGTCTGGCCAGCTCGGAGGGGGGGAGCCGGCGATAGTCGGCACCAACAGATTTCAGCCATTCCCTGTAGCAGCGGCGGCGTTGCTGGTCGGTCCGCTGGGCATGGCGCTCTTTGAAGTACATGGTCCATGGCGAGACTGTCTGGCCTGTGCGAGCCCTCTTCTGCTTGATGTGACGCTTCACCACCCTCCGGACACGATCTACGATCTTCCTGTTCATGCGCTTGAGCCCACGACGCCTCAACCATCGGAGCCACGCGGCCTGAGTCTGCCTCAGCGCGAGGACGCAGCCGATGCTCGACGCGTGACGGCGAGCCCCAGTCGCCCTGACAAGTGGCAAGCGGGGGCAGGGCGAGCGGCAGGGGCGGGCGGGAAGGATGGGTGCGTCCGACGGGCGGGAAACAGGGGGACGTCGTGGGGGGGGCCTTCTCGCAACCCAAGATGGCCCTAATCGGGCCCCGCGAGGGCCCCAAGACGAGCCCAAGAGGGAACCGCTAAACAACAGCAAATTGAACGCAAGCCCGTCCCCAACGAGGAAGCGGCGTTGCGGATGCTGGCCCTTCTGGGCCCGCATCATGACGCCCTGACGCTCTGGGGCCCGTCTTGGGGCCTTCGGGGTGTCATCGCGGGGCATTCTTGGGGCGTCGGGCGGTCTCCAAGAGGGGCCCGACTCCAATTCCAATTCAGATTCAGAGAGTTCGAAGTTCATAGACAGCGGGAGGACTGCGAGGTCGGATGGGGCGCTCGGGGGCGCGTTGACTGACCGACTCCTTCCACGCACTTTCCGAGAGGCGGCGTGCATGAGCTCCACGTGGTGGACGGACATCACCAGCGGGTCGCACGCTATGCTAGACAGCATGTCCAGCACGGCGCGCTGGCACAACGCGTCCGGGGTGTCGGCTTGCTCGAACAACCGGCGGGTGAATAAGTCGTGGCACCGCTTGCAAGGGTGGTCCAGGAGGGCCTTCGCGAAGTCCAATTGCGCCTGGCCGTGGCGGTCGAGAAGGCCCATCAGTCTATAAGGAAAGTCATTGAATACCAGCGTGAACCTGGTGTAAAAATCAGCGCTTTCCCTGAGTACAACAGCCAGAGCCTGGCAAGCGCGCCCCCACCCAACCACGCTCGCGCCCGACCTCCGCCAGGGCTTCAAGAGGACGGGACACAAGAGGGCATGAACTTGGAGGCCATCTTAAGCCCTTGAGGCCTTCTGGAGCCCTCAAGAGGACCCTCCCGGGGGCCCTCTTGTCTCGGGGCGCCCGAGGCGCGGGGCGGGGGGGGGGGGCTCGGCGCCCCCAGGGCCCTCCAGCGCGCGTTAGGAAGGCCCCAAGGGGGATTTATGATCTAAGAAGGCTCCAAGAAGGCTTCGCAGAGAGCTCGGAGGCGCTATCTGGGGCACTCGAGGGGGCCGCTGGAAATTTGCCCGGCGGGGTCCGGGCCACCAGGGGCCCCTCCTGCATCGGCCCCGCCCGGGGCGCCGCCCTGACCTGATTCTCGAGCTGCGCCCAGCCAGGGACGACGACGCGCGCCCGCAAACCCAACGGACGGACACGGGGGTGGGCAGGACCAGCGGCCGGCACGAAAGTGTCCGTCCACCGCTCCCCATCCTCATCTTCATCCTCATCCTCCGCCTCATCGTTCTTCCCCTCCTCCTCCGCCTCCTTCTCCTTCTCCTCCTCCTCCTCCTCCTCCTCCTCCTCCTCCTCCTCCTCCTCCTTCTGCCTTCGCCTCACTCTCCAAGTGCCCTCGGGGCGGCGCCTCGTCAGCCCCGCAGCCCAGACGAGATACAGCCGTCTTGAGCTCGCCCGAGCGGGTGAGCAGATGGCCAATCGCCGCGTGCGTGCTCGTGCAGAGACCGCCGTCCCGGCACATCCCCAGAAACAAATAACGGCGGTGATCGCTGTCGGATTCGTCCAGGGACTCGGCATGGAAGATCGCGTTGAACAACGCCTCGATTGCCATGCTTGCAATGTTGCACACGAGGGTTGACGCCCGCGACGCCAGGCGGTCGTCGAAGAACCTGGCGGCCTTCAGCGTGCGCTTCCCCATCCTGATCAACCAGCTGTCCTGGGGCTGACGCGGGCTGCCGACGGGGGGGGGATTTGGCAGGGGGGCCCCCATCTGATCTAATTATGGGTTATGGGCGATCGGCCCTACGATTGCCGATCGCAGGGCCGATCGGCGATCGGATCTGCTCGAGGGGAAGCGATCAGATCGGGGCCCCGACAAAGCCACCCCCCGCCCGCCGCGCGCGCGGGGTCCGCGCGAGTGACGGCGTCGGCGGGGTCGGGGCACTCCGCGCGGAGCATGTCTGCGACCCTCTCGAGGTTATCTGGGCTGCCCAGGGTCCCTTTGAAAGCGGCGGGCAGCGCGTTGTGCAAACCCACGAGCACCGAGAATTGGACCGCGGTTCCAGAGAGTGATTTCCATCGGTTCGCTGCTATCGTCGAGCACGGTAGGTACTCGTCGAAAAGGTTTGCCATGATCTGCTTTCCTTTTTTGATACTCTCCTCCCGTGAAGTGCAGCATCCGTTGCAGTAGTGTTGGAGTTCATCCTTCTCCCAGTACCCGTTGAAAAAAGCAGACACCCGCATGCACTTCTCAACCTGGGTCCGCTCGAGCCTGGCGTGCCCCCGGGGATCGTGCCAGGGAGCTCCGTGCACCTGCTGGAGGCCCGGGGCTACGCGAATTCCGAATCCCCGCGACGGGGGCGGGCGCCCCCGGGACGACGAGTGCCTGCCCCCACGCTGATCCCGAGCCCTGTCAGAGAGACCCATCGAGTGGCCTTAAAGGGCGAGCCCCAGCCCCAACAGGATTTCTGCGAGGAACGACTCAGGGCAGCGAGGAGCCTGAAGAAGGCGGGGCGAGCGGAAGGGGAAAAGAAAGGACCCTCCGGGATATGGTCTGATATGGTATCGGACTATATATATATATAATTATATATCATAGATCATGAATTGGAGATGAATTGGAGATGGGGGCCTCGGGAGCTTGACTCCTGGGGTCCCCTGCCGCGCCTTCAACAGACTCTGAACGCGGCTGGGCCGCCCGATGGTGCTGCGGAGAACCACCCCCCTGAACTCCGCCGCGTCCGCTGGCGGCTCACCTTCGTACACTACGAGAGAATCGCATAGTCGCTGGTCGGGCCGGACGAAAGGGGGTGGGCGGGATAGTAAAAGGGTGGGCGGGGGTAGCGAATCAACTCAGACTCATCATGTATCTGTTCTTGTCCCGGCGCATTCCAGCTCCTGGAGCGACCGTGCATCGGGGAACGTGCCTGCCGGCGGTGCAGAAACCAATTGCATTCAGCAGATTTCGACCCCCCACCACCTTTTTCCCAACCCCGCCGCCCCTGTCGCCCGACCCGAACTGGGCGCCCAGCGTCAGCTTGACCCTGTACTGCCAGCGCCCGAACACGGACGTGCAGCAGTAATAGGCATTCAAAATGTCCAGCCCCTTGAGCCCACTGTCGCCAACCATGTGGAGTTGATGGCAAACGCATCGCCCCTCCCACACCAGGGCCCGAACCAGGGATACTCGAGGAAGAAAAGACAACGTAAACGTAAGCGTTCGGAGGTCCGCGCGGACTTATTGGATCGCCGTTGGACCCCTCCCCCCGGCGGCGCCTCCAGAGCAGACCTTCGGCGCTGATCCGCGCGAACCTCCGAAAGTGAACGTTTACGAAGCCGTTTCTACCTCGAGATACGTGGTAAAAAAGACTGCAGAGGCGGTTCGCCGCCAAGGCATCTGGGAACACGACAAGGGCCATGAAGCGCACGTGGCGGGCCATGTCGGAGAGCGCCTCCAGGGAGAGGTGCCTGGATGATCCGTTCAGCCCAGAGAAAATGGCAGATGCAGTCGTCGAAGGAATAATCCGCATCGGCACGGCCAGGTGGCAGGACTCGTCCTGGGCCCCCACCCCGTAGGCCGCCTCGTTCCCCCCCACTACCCCTGGCCCGCTCGCCCGCCCCCCTCGCCCGCCCCGCCGCCATCGTGGATTTGGACACCCGAAAAGGGTACCGAAAAAATGGGTACAATGCCCAACAACAAGTGGTGTGCCAAACCTACAGCGGCCGCTGTTGGGCCGGCGGCCTCCTGTCTCGAATGGAGACAGGCCGCGGCGACACCGACAGCGAGTCTTGTTCAAAACGAAAAGGAACTGCTGTTGGGCATTGTACCCATTCTTTCCGTACCCATTTCGGGCGTCCAGAGTGGACGGCGGCGGGTTGGGCGCGCAGGCGGGTCGGGCAAGTGGCGGGCGGGGCGGGGGCGAGGGCGGGGGGAAGGGCCAGTTCGCGCCCTCGCGTCCTCGGAGGGCCCCCACCGCATGAAGCACTGCTGCTGGAACGACTGCACCGCGTAGTGCTTCCTCTGGGAAGGGGTGCGACGGACCGAAGGCCCCATCCCCCCCCAAACGTCGGCCTCCCGAAGTCCGGAGTTTCCCTGGGGCCAGCGCGCGATCCCGGGTCGTTGCGACGGCCCCAGGGCCCGTTGTGGGGCGGGGGGGCATTGGAGGCCGACATTAACGAAACAACTCCCACGTCGCAGTCCTGCCACTGCTAGCGATCGTAGGCAGCTCCACCATGGACTGGGGAACGGACGGAGGAGGAGGAGGAGGAGGAGGAGGAGGAGGAGGAGGAGGAGGAGGAGGAGAAGGAGGAGGAGGAGGAGGAGGAGGAGGAGGAGAAGGAGCACGAGGACGAGGAGACCCAGCCTCTGCGAACGCTGGAAGGAACTTGGCCAGTTCAGCGTTCCGGACGGCCACGGTCATGCTCGTTTCATCCCACATGCGCTTGATGACCATGAACCCAACTCGAGGAGGGGGGGGATCGTGGAATGCGGCATTCGTGGAGGAGTGGAAGAGAAGGAGGTGCCTGGCGCACCCGCCGCGGTCGCCCGATCGACGATGTCTTTGCGAGCAGCCAGTAAGAATTGGTCGAGCACGACGCTGAAGGCGGTCGACACCAAGCGCTGCGCGCGCCTGGTCGTGGCGACCTTCGCGGCACGCAGACGCCGAAACCTAAGGTTTCGGCGTCTGCGCACCGCTGCCGGGCCCCAGGACCATCAAAAACTGTCCCGGGGTGAAACGCTACCCCCAGGGCAGACCTCATTGTCCACAGGGGGGTGAGGAGGGCTAGGATATTGAGGAGGTAGGAGTTTGAGGTAAAGGGATGTAGTGAGGTAGGAGTAAGGAGTAGGGAGTTGAGATGAGAGGAGGAGGAGGAGAGTATGGGGTGTATGTGGTGATTAATTCGGTATAGTGATTGATGGAGGTCAGGAGTAGGATGATGATTGAGGATTGTGGTGATTAGGAGGATTATGATTGGATTGAAGATTAGTATGAGTAGGAGGCGTATTTAGGAGTGTATGGAGTCGTTGGGAAGCGCATTTTCCTTGGGACTTCCCCAGGAAGGGCGGAGGCGCAGATAGATCAGGGTATGCCGGGAGAGGTGGCCCCAGAGGACTATGTTGAAAGGTAGGTGGGTGGGGGGGGGCAGTGGCGGGATGAGTAGGATATGGGGGAAAGTGACGTGTGCTGGTACCTCAAGTAGTCGCCCCCCCCCCACCGCCACGCCCCCCCCCCCCTCCGGACGTGGACGCCCGCGCTCGCGGCAACCGCAGAGGCGTCGGCGAGGGCGACGGGGCCGTCGAGGCGACCAAAGGCCGCGTCTAGCCACCCAGCTGGCCCCAACCCTCTCGGACCCGTCGACCACGGCCCCGAAGAGGCCGCACTACCCCCCACGACGGCCTCTGGGAGGCAACCCCGCAAGCCCACGACGTCGGCCTGCAGTCGCTGCTGGGCCTGCAGTCGCTGCCGGGCCTTGCGGGCGTGCTTGTCCTTCCTACTCCAGGATTTTCCCCTGGTGCACAGGCGGCGCGAGGAGAAGCGCCGGGGCATTCTGGCGGAGTCGGGGCGGGGGAAGGGGCACGTGACACCGCGCATAATATATATATATATATATATATATATGTATGAGATAGTGTGTATATATATATATATATATAGCATGTAGCTTATAGGAATGCGCGGGCCAGCCTATATGATATAGGCTGGCCCGCGCCGTCCGCTCCCTCGTCCACGAGCGGGGCGGGCCCCTTCCACGATGCGAACCAGAGGCGCGAGGCCACGTGACTCTCCCCCCCCCCTCTGCGCCACGAGGGCGGCGGGCGCGGGGCCGCGCGAAGCGGTGTGGCTGAGCCACAAAGGCTCCAGTTGAACGAGGGGCCCAGCAAATGCGAGCGCAGGAGGGGGGAAACAGGGGGGGAGCAGGAGGAAACGGATGATGAGCAGGAGGCGGGGGCGCCTGAGGGTCAAGGTGGCGGAGGTCATGCGTGCGACACGCGTGATGGAGCCTACGAAGCTCAAATCGGGGCCCATGGGCCATGCCGGCCCCTCTCAGGGCCCTCTTGGGAGAGGTCAACCGGCTTAAGGATTAAGGTGATGGTAAGTTGGTTAGGATGATTCAAGGGCGGGGAGATGGTCGTGAGGGGGGTGGTTAGGGTGTGGGTGGGCACGAGGGTTACGAGTTACTTAGGGCATTGAATCAGAAGATGACAGGGCGGGGCGCCGGGGCGCGGGGTGGGATGAAGGGGGGGAACTTCCAAAAAACAGGGGGGTCACTATCCACAACACAGGTGGGGAGGGGGGGGGCGCGAAGGGGGGGTGGGGGGGGGCCCGGGGGGGAACCTTCCAAAACAAGGGGGGTCACTTCCACAACAGGGGGGGAGGGGGGGCGCAGATGGGGGGGGGGGGGGGACGGGGGGGGGGGGGCGGGGGGGAAAACCCCTTCCAAAACAAGGGGGGGGAACTTCCACACAAGGGGGAGGGGGGACGGGGGGGGGAAGGGCAGAAAGGGAGCCCCCCCCCTTAGTTGTTAACAGCACACTATAATCCATATTCAAGTCTCAAGAGCCCAAAAGTGACGACAGTTGCACGTTGCGGATGACCCGCTCGGATTCAAACATAAAGTGCGGGCCCCATAGGGAGGGGGCTCCCGCCTGAGACTTCCTCAGAATTCACTCACAGACGAGGCTCCCGCTCGAGACTTCCTCCATATTCAGGCCTCAAGTCAGCGAGTAGTGATGATGATGATGATGATGATGATGATGATGATGATGATGATGATGATGATGATGATGATGATGATGATGATGATGATGATGATGATGATGATGATGATGATGATGATGATCGTTCGATGCCGATGATGGTGAGTGATCGTGGGATGGTGATGGTGATGCTGATGGTGATGACGATGATGAGTGGGGAGTGATGGTGATGGTGATGATGATGCGGAGGAGGAAGCAAAGAGGAGCAGAGGAGAGGGAGGAGGAGGAGGAGAGATCCTGCGCGGAGGGTGTGCAGAGAAAACAAGAACCCCACTTAGGATGTGGGGAAAAAACTCCTACGGCCGGGAACTCTCTCATTGCGTATCGCGTCGCGGCGGGCCGGTCGCTGCGAGCGCACAGCGGGCGTTCGCTCCGCCCCTCCGGGGGGGGGGTGAGGTTCGGCAGGGAGCACAGCCTCGGGCACGCTAGGGGACGGAGCGCTCGGGGCGGGCGCCGGGAAGTTGGAACGAGAGCAGTTGCGACTGAAAAAAAGTGCTCGCGCCGGGGCGGGTGGGCCCGAACTTGCGCAGCGACCGCTGGGCAGAAGCCCTCGCACCGGATCGTGGAGTCTCGAAAGTCCGCTTAAAAAAAAAAAAAAAAAAAAAAAAAAAACAAAAAAAAAAAAAACAAAAAAAAAAAAAAAAAAAAAAAAAAAAAACAAAAAAAAAAAAAAAAAAAGAAAAAAAAAAAAAAAAAAAGAAAAAAAAAAAAAAAAATTAAAAAGAAAAAAAAAAAAAAAGATCATGAATGAGCCGTCCCGACCCCTGCTGGGGCCCACACGCACCCGCTTTTCGAGCTGCGTCCGGCGGTGGCGACGACGAGGGCCCGCGAAGGCCACAAAGCCTGGAGCCTCGAGGCTCGAACCCCGAGGATCGAGGCTCGGTCCGAGCCTCGAGCCTCGAGGCGGCGGCGGCGCGGGTCGTCGCCGCAGTGGCGCGCCGATCGGCACCCTGCCAGGGGTCTCTCAGGCCGGCCGGGGGGGGGATGTCCAGCTGCCGCGGAGGCGCGGCGCCCCCGAGGTCCACCAGCAGGCAGAGGGGCAGGCCGGCGCCCTCCTTGTCGCCGTCCTCGCCGCGTGGGGGCCGCCCCGCCCCCCCCCTGGGCCACTGCAGCCGCCACAAGCCGCCGACGCCGCCAACGAGGATGAGCCTGGGTCCGAGGAGACTGGGGCGGAGCTCGAGCAGGCAGCGCGGAGAGCTCGGCTTCGACACAGGACGCCCTGCGCGCCGCGCTTCGGCGCCATCGACAGCGCAGAGGCACGCGTAACGAAGCCCTTCGCCTGCGTCGCGGGCGTCGGCGTGGAGGCCAAGGTCCTCACGCCGTGAGCGTCGTGAGTGGCGGGTGGAGGGGAGGTGGATCTGCCGTTTGCCCGCCACTCACCCAAACAAAACCCAAAAAACCGCGAAAACCCCAAACCAACTCCAAAAACGGCAAAAAAAAAACCTGCGCGGCCGCCTCCTGCTCTTCGGAGGGGGGCCGCGTGTCCCCGGGGGGGGGAGAGCCGTGGGGCGAGCGAGGGGTCCGCCTGCCCGCGCCGCGCAGCGTCTCGGCAAGCTCACCAATGCATCAATACCTTGCCGCCCCCTCCTCCTCCTCCCCCTCCTCCTCCTCCTCCTCCTCCTCCTCCTCCTCCGCCTCCTCCTCCTGATACCCATACACATTCTGATCGATTGCCATGATATTCAGATCCCAATCCTCATCCTCATCCACATCCTCATTATCATCCTCATCCTCATCATCTGCATATTCAGCATCATCAGCAGCAGCATCATAATCAACATCATTAGCATCCGCACCATCGTCATCATCATCATCATCATCATCATCATCATCATCATCATCATCATCATCATCATCATCATCCTCATCACCATCATCATCATCATCATCATCATCATCATCCTCATCATCATCAACATCATCATCAGCATCATCATCAGCATCATCATCATCATCATCATCATCATCATCATTATCGTCATCACCATCATCATCATCATCATCATCATCATCATCATCATCATCATCATCATCATCATCATTAGCATCCTCATCATGAGCATCATCCTCGTCACCATCATCATCATCAATATCACCATCATCATCAACATCAGCATCGCGACCATCATCATCAACGTCATCATGATCATGATCCTGAGAATGATCAGCATAATGATCAGCATCATCATCAGCATCACTATCATCATCATCAGCATCATCATCACCATCATCACCATCACCACCATCATCATCATCATCATCATCATCATCAACATCAACATCATCATCATCATCAGCAGCATCATCATCAGCATCATCATCCGCATTCATGGTGGCTCAAGGTTGAGCCAGAACGTAAGTCTACAACCCCGCACCTGGGTCGCAATTTTGACCCTGAATCTGCCCGCACTCGCCTGCTGTTCGACGTTATTTCTTGGGTGAATGGCGCCATGGGACGCAGCAGCAAAGTCCGGATGGAAGACGGGAGCGCCTCCAGGCTCGTGGGAACCCCCTCCGCGCGCCCACGCTCATCCTATTTCGGATTGGCTCAAAGATCCCTCTGGACAGTGGCATTGGATCGGCGCCAAGTGTTCTGGCTCTGGGGCTGCATCACGCTCCTGGCACTGTCGTGGCTGTGGCTCGCAGTGCACATCCAAGAATGCGTACACCACGTGTGGTATGCGCAGGACCTATGTGGAGGCGCTTACCTACTCGACGCCCTCCACCGTTCCGCAGCAGGTCTCCAGAAATCCAGTCAGGGCTCAGTTGCAGCACGTGGGCTCCCTTATGGCCCAAGCTGGATTGAGTTCTGCACCGCAGCAGACACCTTCCAGCACAGCGATTGCGGCACCCGTCGCGGCCGGCGGATCCGAGAAGCCCCTGATGGACCTGAAGGAGGCCAACCGGCAGCTGGAGGAGACCATTGCCGCCCTTCCTCAGCTTCTGGAGACTGCTGCCGCCCAGCAGGAGTTGCAATCGCAGCTCGACGATGTGGTCGCTCGAATCCCGAGCGCGGCCCCTCCCGGCGCCAGACTCGACGGTGCCGTAGCCGCGCCGACGAGGGCCAGAGCTCGCAAAGCGGCGGCGGAGGAGGCGCTCGCCACGGCGCAGCAGGCCGTGCAGTCTGCTGCTGTGGAGTGCCAGCAGCTCGAGGAGGACGTCGAGGAGATTCGCCGCCAGACCATGGCCGCACCCATGGCCCCGAGCGTAGCAGCCAGCAATGCGCTCGAGCAGCTACAGCTGGCCGCCGACGCTGCCGTCGAGGCCCTCCAAGCGTCAGGGCACGCAGATCCCGGGCACATCGAGCAGACTGTGGCCCATTCCGAGCAGCTCGTGCCAGGCTTCGTGCAGTCGATGGCTCATACCTCCAAGGTGGCAATGGCTGCAGAGGGAGTCCCTCCGACACGCGTCCATGGGAAGCAGGCTCTCCAGCCCCTGCTGCCGCCGAGCGTCCCGAGCAGAGAGCGCCACAACGGCAAGCAGCCACCCAAGCGCAAGTTGGTCGACTTCTTTGGGGCGCAGGTGACAACAAAGGTGAGTCGCCTCGGCATCAAGCCGCCGATCCCGACTCCAACGACAAGTCGCCTCGGTGACAAGCCTCCGACCCCCACGTCGGCGACGTTCCAGCCCTATTGAAGCTAAAGGTGGCCACTGCCAACGTGAACACGTTGGACCCCGCTGGGGTTCGGCGATCCATCAAGGTAGACATTAACGCCAGCGCCAAAATCGAGTAGCTCGACTTGGCATTTTGGAGCGTCAGTACGCGGTAATGGGCGTGCAAGAATCTTGCATCCAAGGCTCGGTCAATAGAGACCAAGTCCATTATCACGTGAGCACCTCGGGTGCGCAGTCTGATGGCTTTTTGTGTGTGTGGAGAGCTGGCTCAGCAAAGACCGGGTTCGTGGAGCCAAGGTTCGACCTCGTGCTCACTCTCCTCGTCTCCTTACGGTGCTTGTGGATAGTCAGAGCTTGTGTGCTCGCGCACGTCGTTGCCCATGCACCCACCAACATCGCTCCAGCCGAAGATCGGCGACTTTTTTGGCAAGCGCTCCGTTCTGAACTCCGTTATTTCGACAAATCTCGGTTGGTCTTCCTTACGATCGACGCAAACGCCACCATGGGCGCCGTGGAAAAGCTCGGCTCTTCCTTTCCGCGATGGCACAGTGGGGAACGAGAACGGCACTGCGATGCGCCATCTGCTCGAGGAAAACTGTTGGTACCCCGCCAGCATGAACACCCAGACGATGCTCCCTATGTGGTATGGTGGTCGCAATCAACATGAAGGTCGCCGCATTGACTATGTGCGTGTATCTAAATGATCCGTGCGTAACTTGCCCCGACGCCAGGGTGGATATGTAAATATACCTGAGTGGCACGGATTTTATTGACCACGCCCTCACCTTCAGCGATACTGTGTTCGCATTCGCAAGTGCCAAGGGGAGTGATCACATACAGCGATGCGCTCGAGTCGTTCATAGATGGATTCGCCTGAGGCTCAGCATCTTTGTCAACAGTACTTGTGGGAGAGGTTGGCAAGCACGTTGTCTGGATACCCTCATCCTGAAGCTGTCTGTTGCTACACTGAGGCCGACGCCACTCACCTTCGCAAGCCTTGGACGTCCTGGGACACAGCGCAGCGGGCATCCTCACCTCCGGCATTGCGGTCTGAACTACGTCGTGCTCGACGAGCCTTCCGCCCCCAGGATCCCGCATGCTACTGGTCGAAGTGGTGCTTGGTCTTGAGGCGACGGCCTGCCATCGGGATCTGGCAGAAATGCTCCTGCTCCCTCACCAGGGTTGCTCCGATCTGCCAGCTCTTCGCCGACGCGAGGCTGTCGCACTGCGTCGGCTTCGAGCACGTCGTTCCCAAGTTCCACAAGACCTCATGGCCTCGGACCTGCAGTCTCGAAAGCTGGATGCGAGCCAGCTGCACTTCTCGCCCAAGCTGCCTCGAATGCAGCTTGCCAGTTCGGCCGTTGTCCGCTGGCGCTGAAGGGCGGTCGCATGCAGGACATATAGAAACGAAGGGGGACAAGGCAGTGACCACTAACAGCAGAAGTATTTTGATTCAGTTTCACATTGGCAAGGTGCGCGGTGCCACGCTGCAGGACGCCCTTGCCGAGCACGACCAGCGAGCTGTTGCTGACACTCACTGCGGTGCCATTGCTGGCAAAGGTACCTCCATTGCCGGTTGCGTGGCTGAGCTGCACTCGGAGTTGGCCCGTTCGCTCCGATTTTCCTTCGCTCGGATTCTTGTTGACCTGTCAACGGCGTTTGATACGGTCTGCAGGGAGCTTGCCATTGGTGCAGTCGCTCCAAGGATCCAGCTGCTACCGCGCAGGCTTTGAGCGACATCGGCTTCCCCGAGCACGTGTGCGGCGCAGTGCGTGATTGCACTGCTGAGCATTCTCATTTACTGGTGGATGCCGGGGTGACCCCAGCAGTTTCTCAGATGGTTGACGACCTGCATCAAACTACTTGGCCTGGTGTCTCCCAGGAACCTCTGCGCGGCTCGTCCGCCGTCGTCCGCACCAAGAAGGGGGCTCGGCAAAGCTGCAAGATAGGCGCGCTGATCTTCAACGTTGTCTACGAATACGCTTTGGGCAGGATCCGTACGCGAGCCTCCGATGCAGGCATCCTGCACGAGGTCGAGGGCTCCCAACCATGCCTGTGGGCCTTGGCCGACGGCGCCATACAGCCCGAGACCAAAGGCGACGCGCTTGCAACCTTGTGTGACATTGAATACGTCCACGATGTGCTATTCATGCTTCTGCATGCGGGCCCGCGGCAACTCGTGCAAAACTCCCGCGTGATGCTGGTCATCACTCTTGATTGGTTCAAATGCTGCGGTATGGAGTACAACCTAGCCGCCGGCAAAACGGAGGTCACCATATCTCTCATTGGGAAAGGCACTCGCAAGGCCAAGGCGCAGCTGTTCGACGCCACTGTTAAGCGCCATTTTCTTGCTACTACTGATGGCAATCGACGTATCGGAGTCGTGAGTTAGAACAAGCACGTTGGTACATGTCGCACAGCGTCCAGCAGCAACATCGCTGATGCCAGGGCCAAAGCATCCAAGTGCCTTGCTGCTTACTATCCCATGGCCCATCGGGTCTTTATGTTGGTAACGCTGGCATCGCGATTTCGACGAGGCTGAGCTTGGCACACTCCCTCTGTTGTTCGCGTCTGTTCTACGGCACGGACACGTGGCTCGCCCCGCACGCCGACGCAGTGCGATTTTTGAATGAGGCCCAGCTTCGCATTCTCAGACAGGTGGCAAACAAAGGTCGATTCCAGAGCACAGGACACGGAACTGATGCCAGCGTGCTTGAGGCGTTCTAGCTCCTCCCCACCGGCTTGCACCTACTGGTGCTTCGCTTGAGAGGTCAGCTTTTAAGGTGCTCGGCGCAAGGCCACAGGCTCTCGTGGCACCACTGTTTTCGAAAGCGCATTTTTTCGGACCAGCTGGCCTGTGATTTGCAGTGGGCTCACGAGGCCTCCCTGGCACTGCGAGGTCTTCCCGACCCCTGCCTCGGGAGGAGGAGGAGGAGGAGGAGGAGGAGGAGGAGGAGGAGGAGGGGGGGGGGGGAGGAAGGGGAGGAGGCGGAGGAGGAGGCGGAGGAGGAGGAGGAGGAGCGGCGACCCCATTGGCCGGGCTCACGCACCGTCTCGGGCGGAGCTCCCATTCTCCAGGCTGGGCCCCGAGGCGCCCACGCCTGCTTTGTTACGACGCCAGAGCTTCGGATCCTCCCGAGTCTGCTCCCCTGGCCTTGCATGTTTTGTGCCCTCCGCAGCGCAGACGCCTGGCATCGCTCGGACGTGTGCATTGTTCTTCCTCGGCGAGAACCATCGAGGAGCATCCTTGATAATTTGGCGAGAAAAACCACGCACGAAACCGGAAAAACACAGGGAATGGACGTCCGAGCGATGGCGAGGACGATGCTTGCTGCGTAAGCGAGGCTGCCCTGCGCTCCCCCCAGCACGGGAGCCATGGCAGGACGGCTCCTGCGCGACAGTGTGTGGCCTCCGCACGCTGCCCCGCGTGCAAAAGAAGCTGTTCGCGTCGCGGGCGGCAGCGATTGATCACGTGGCATGCTGGTCGAAGGCGTGTCGCGCGATGCTGGTGGCATCGCGTGCTCCTCTGCCTCCCCGGGCCAGACAGGAGCACGACGAGGCCGACCGTCAACGCGCCCAAGCGGTGAGTTGGAAAGTGCTGCACGGCCATGCTTCCAGCAATGACTGGCAGGTATCGCTCGCACTTGACATGCTGTTTTCTTTGGTAGCATCACAGGTTATGCTCCTGCCGTTAATAACAATAACAAAGCATCATCAGTACCTATACGACCAACCTTCGGGTGATAAGGAGGTGAGGGGGGAGGAGGAACCAACGTGTCACTCAATACATCTCGCGATCGATCGCACTATCGATCTCACTATCGATATCACTCGATCGATCTCACTATCGATCTCACTATCGATGTCACAATCGGTCTCATGACCGATCTCATTATCGATCTGATTCAGTCGATCTCACTGTCGATAATACTATCGATCTCACATTCCGTTTCACTATAGATCTCACAATCGATCGCACACTCGGTCTGACTATCGATCTCAATCGATATCACAATCGATCTCGCAATCGATCTCACATTCGATCTCACTATCGATCTCACTATCGATCTCACTATCGATATCACTCGATCGATCTCACTATCGATCTCACTATCGATCTCACGACAAGACACCAACGGGACACCGACGGGACACCGACGGGACAACGGCGGGCAACCGACATTCGGTCTCACTATCGATCTCAATCGATATCACAATCGATCTCACAATCGATCTCACATTCGGTCTCACTATCGATCTCACTATCGATCTCACTATCGATCTCACGATCGGTCTCACAGTCGATCTCACTATCGATCTCACGACAGGACACCAACGGGACACCGACGGGACACCGACGGGACAACGGCGGGACACCGACGGGACAACGGCGGGCAACCGACGGGAAAATGTGGGCCACCGCTTGACAACACCCGGGGGGGGGAAACATTTGTGTTGGCGGACCCCTAGCGACAGCAGAGTGAATTCCTCTCGCCCGCCCACGCAGCTTCGCCTCGCCCGCACGCACGACACGAACACGAAACCGAAACCGATTTCCCGGTGGGGGGCTCTCCGTTCCACTTCGATCTCACCCCCTCACCTCCGATCATCATCATCATCATCATCATCATCATCATCATCATCATCATCAGCATCAGCATCATCATCATGATCATCATCATCGTCATCATCATCGTCGTCGTCGTCCTCAGCAGCAGCAGCATCAAGACCATCATCATAATCATCACCATCATCATCTTCAGCATGATCAACATCAGCATCACCACCACCACCCTCATCATCAGCATCATCATCATCATCATTATCACCAGTAGCATCATCATCGTCGACGTCGACGTCATCATCATCAGCAACAGCAGCATCACCATCATCATCAGCCTCAACATCATCACCCTCATCGTCACCATCACTATCACCGTCACCATCACCATCACCATCATCAGCATCAGCATCGTAATCAGCATCAGCATCAGCATCAGCATCAGCATCAGCATCAGCATCAGCATCAGCATCAGCACCATCGTCATCATCATCATCATCATCATCATCATCATCATCATCATCATCATCATCATCATCATCATCATCATCATATTCATCATCAATATCGTCATCGTCATTGTCATCGTCATCATCATCCTCATCACCACCATCATCAGCAGCAGCAGCATCTCCACAATCATCATCACAACAACTATCAGCACCGCTATCGCAAGTCTTGTTTCATCATCGCCAGCATCACCATGTTTCTCCTTCTACTTCTCATCGTCCTCCTCCTTCTCCTCCACTTCCCTTTTCTCCTCCTCAGCCTTCCCCTCCTCCTCCTCGTCTTCCTCCTCCTCCTCCTCCCTCCCTCATCGTGTGCTAAGCCCTACCCGAGCCCGAGAGAAGCCCCCCTGACGTTTCCTGCGTTCCACTCCCTCCTCCCATCCCTGCGCCCTCGTCCCTCCCTCATCCCCTCCCTTCCCCTACCCAGTCCTCCTGTCTACATTCCCTCCCCCTTCTCTTGTTGATGCCATGACCATGGATACTCTAACAGCCCGACCATGGAAGCGCACATGGCTTTGATCATACAAATCAGGTTTAGATGGTTTAAACATTTTTTAAACCATGCCTGTACATGTTTAGAACCTGCTTAAAACATTGTCTACACATCTAGAAATGATTTGGCAACACGCCTCCTCTTCATCAGATCGTCTTCCACAGCCCTTCTCCTTCCTCCCGCAACTGACCCTCACTCCTCAGCCTGCCCGCCCGACCCGCCCGCTGAGGTCCCGCCCGCCCAGCCTGCCTGCTCGGATCGGGGGGGCCTGCCGAAGCGGACAGAGTCGTCTACAGCCCTTGGGGCTGCAGTCTCTTGACCAGGGGGGGCTCCCGCAAAGAGGAGGAGGAGGAGGAGGAGGAGGACGAGGAGCAGGAGCAGGAGGAGGAGGACGAGGAGGAGGAGGAGAAGGAGGAGGAGGACCCCCTCCTCTTCCGATTTATGGTGGCGGTGGTGGAAAACAGGCCCATCAGCCGTCGGTCGACCCGCCCGTGAGGGTCTCGCTCCCCCAACGCGCCCCGCCAGACCCGCGGCCGGCGAAGCAGACCGCCGGCGAGAACGGCTGCCGGCGAGACCAGCCGTCGGCGAAGCCGGCCGGCGGCGAAAGCAGGCGGGCGAAGCTGGCGCCGACGCCACGCAGCCACGCCCCCCCCCCCCCCCCCGACTCCCAGGGGCTCCGCGCCATTTTTTTCGGGCCGGGTCGATCGGCGAGGGCCCCAGGGCCCCAGATGAGGCAGAGCCGCCAGGCTCGACAGGAGTGCAACGCCAGGATCTCAGAGCCGCGAGCGCTGGCGATTCTCTGCGTCGTCTCGCCGAAACTGGTTTCGCGGGGGAGATGTTCGAGGCCGTCGGCGTATCGTCGCGCGGCGCCGCCGTCGCGAGGATGGCGGCCTCGAACGCGTTCCGCCCGCGGGGGAGGGGGCCGCCGCACTGGCGTCGCGAGCCGCCGCGGCGGGGCCGAGGGCCCACTCCTCCAGCACAGCCAGAGCCAGGGAGGCCTTCAGGTGGAAGACGGCGCGGATGCGGGCGCCGCTGGGCGCCTCCTGGCAAAAAGGGGGTGGGGCACAGATGACGATGATGAGCACGACGACGATGATGATGCTGCTGATGATGATGAGGAGGAGAGCGAAGGAAGACAAGAAGAAATGAAGGAAGGAGGGAGGGTGGAGGAGGGAGGGGGAGGAGGATGAGGAGGAAGAGGAGGAGGAGGAGGAGGAGGAGGAGGAGGGAGGCGATGTTGTTTTAATTCGCCGGCCCAACGGGCCAGAGGCGTGCTAAGATCTCCGGTAACTGGTTAACAATTTTCTAGTTCGCGCGCGCGGGGCGGCCCC